GCGCACACTCAGGAACAGAAGAGCTGGCGTCAGCCCACTCAGACGCAGGAACCGGCGAGGCATCCACAGCCCTCTGAGATGCAGTCCTTTGTCCTCTGTGTCTTTTGTGAAGTACAGAACAGTCCCGATAAATCAAAAGCATGGGGAGCTGACAAAAATTGGAAAAATGTGGAAGATTTGTGTGACTTTGGTGCCCAAACTGCTTTCTGAGGACCAAAAAACCCGCTGTGTGGATGTGTCCCAAGACGTTTTGGAGCAACTGGAGGGCAACAAAGAGTTCCTGGACAACATTTTCACCAGGGTGACGCCTGGGTCTTCCACTATCACCCTGGGAACAAACAGTAGAGCCTCCAGCTGGCGTCAACCCGACCAAAGAAAGCAGCATTTGTGTGATGTAATTACTTAGTTTTTCATTTTTAAATGAACTGTAGGTGTAGGCCTCCACACACTAGAGGGCGCTACAGAGTGTGAGGACAACACTATTTTTGTGAATGTTGCTCAAAGAAACTAACAAAGAAGAAATCTTTTAATTTCATAGTATTTGACTTCTCAAAAATGTTTACATTCACACCAATGCTGCACATAAGCAATAAGTATGTTTCATAAATATTTTGTAGTTTGGTGTTAATAGACTGAAATGCAGTTGAAGCGTCAGTAAACTACCCACAGACACTCGACTGTACTACTGTCATTATAGACAATAAACTAACCACAGTAAATATAAACAGATTTTTGTGTTTTAAGATTCTGGTGTTTTCTGTTTTTCAGAGTCTGAATCTCAGCTAGACGGTAAGTCAAAGTTTCTTTGTGATCTTATCATTTGTGAAATGTTCACATTTTCATGTTGATAATCATTTCCATCAAACCCTAAATCCCAGACTGAGTGTGAGTGTGGCTCATTATGTGTTTCTAATATGTTTAGTTTGCGGTCAGCCAAGTCTCAACACCAGGATTGTTGGAGGAGAGGTGGCCCCTCCAGGCAGCTGGCCCTGGCAGATCAGCGTGAACTCGATTGGAGGGAGACAATTCTGTGGAGGATCCCTTGTTAACAACCAGTGGGTGGTGAGCGCTGCTCATTGCTTCCCAGGGTGAGTAAATATGGTCAATGAAGAATCTGAACCAGCTGCTAAAGTGTGTTCACCCCAAACATCCATTGTTTTATGTTTGATTTTTTCAGGGCAGTTTCACTCAGGCATGGTGGTGGCAGCATCATGAGTTGTAATTAGAAAAGGAATTACGTTGACCACTATTTAACATTAAAAAGCAATAAAAGGCAAAAACTCCAAAGCAGGATGAATACTTTTTGTATGCAGTGTAATTTTTTGATGTTTTATTTTCTGTGAGTCTCTCTGGACGTGTCCTCTTTGCTCTGTGAAAACACAGCATGCGATTCACCCGAGAACCC